TTACAACCCGTACCGATTTTCACCCCGAAGCCGCGACTTTCATCGACGACCCTCTTCGCCTGACCGTCGCGATTACGCGTTGCCGTCACGGACAATTTGTCCTGGGTCACGTTTCCACACTATGTACGTACCTTACCACACTGGGGAGGCCTTGTTCGCTGGGCTGAGGGCGCGGGCGCTATTGTTCCCTCATCCCGTCTACAGACTTTGTTCCGTGCCCATTAACCACCACTTCTCCATAATCGCTCAAAGCATCGCCTTTATCACAACTTGCACTCTCCCACGCAATCTTACGTCTTCTTTGCGCACAATGAGTCGCCGCAATCTACTTCAACGATCACGGTAAGCGTTTTACTTGTCATCGTCTGGGCCATACTTTTTTGGATAGGGGAGGTGTAAGGGTAGGAGCTGTGCGTCATGCGATCTGATCTTATGATCCTAGATGTCGAGTGGTCGATGGGCGGACACGAGGAGAGGCGAGATGTGCTCGGCGCGGACGGCTGGACTACAACTTCTGCCTACAGCTACTACCGTTCTAGACAGTTAACCATTGTTGCTAGTAAAGGATTAGTTATACCGGTCTATTGTGCACGCTTCACTCACTCGTCCTACCAGTAACATCTGCATCATCCTCGAGATCCTGTCCTTCCTGTTGTATCTTATTGCTTGTTGTTCCGTTGTTTTTACCATTGTACCACTTATGCGTCAGTTATGCCTATTGTGTGCCTGTTGGTTGCTTGCCTAACTTTGTGCCTTTCATGTAATCAGGATAAACTTTAGTAAATGAGCTGTGTAGAGACAGATGCAGGGTTGAGCCACTTCCACGGCGCCCGCTCGCTTACTACTCGTCTGACGCCTACCTCGGCTCGTCACCTCTCCACGATGCTCTACCGGACAGATACTCTCACTTCAGCTTCACTAACGCATCTAACTCCTATTCGTGCCAACAAAATTCCTTGAAAGTCCTCGCCCAGAATTCAAAATTCCTTGAAGGAACCACAATTGAAGAGTCTCGATGACCAGTAAGGAGGAGTCGTGGCAAATTGAATAAATACGTGAAAGCGTTTCCGAGGCTCGCATAAAATATTTTAAAGCCTTCTCTCGATGACCAGAAAGGGGGACACGTGGTAAATTGAATTAATATGTGAAAGCGTTTCCGAGGCTCGCATAAAATATTTTAAACAGTAGCAAAAGACCATGGGTCCCAACATAAGACGTTCGTCTTCTGGGGCAATTTATTATGCCATCCGTGACGGTAGCGTTGTAGTAATATATTTATTGAGGCGGGGTGGCCTCGGTGATAGTGGTGGGTCCGAGACGGGGTGGTCTCGGACCGTCAGGTAGTAGAATGCTGACTTAATCTAGGCGTGCCTCTCAATACAGGAGAGGTCACGCATCGAGTATCTAACCATTTACCTATGGGTCATAATCACATGTCTCAATGTTGCCTATGGGTTATACATATCAATCAGTCAGTCATAAAAGGGTGCACCGGTAGGTTCTGGTGGCAAGCCAGAATACCATCAGCCGCTTTCAACAGTTATCCTTCCGAACTTGTGCGAACACAGCAACCGGATGGATGCCCTAGTGAACCGAAAAATTTTGTAAAAAAGTTTTTTTTGCGTGAAAAGCGTCCATCAAATCCTGAAGGCAGATTTGAGTTGTCGTATCCGTCGTATAGTGGCCGAAAGCTCATGGTGGAGGATGTGGCGTGGCCAACGGCCCAGCACCTGTCACCTAGACTACTCCGAGAGTCAGCATGATGCAATAGCTGGGCGAGTACTTAAGCAGTCGCCAGCTAGTAGTCAGTAGTCGAGTCTCACCCCAGTAACAGCTGCAGCTGTTCGTCTACCAGCTCTCCTTCGTCTTGTCCCCATTATCCCACGTATATTAATCAATAAATATATTAAAATCTCCTTGCTACCTATGTCTACCACCGCTACACCATCAGATGGAAGCAGCCGGATCCCCTTCAATCTAATATGGAGGTCCGAGGGAGAAAACATTTACTGCATGCGCGAAGCGGCCGATGGTCCAGTGGATAAGCGCACCGCTTCGGAGGGATGAGGTCGCATGTTGGAATCCTCAGTCTTAGAAATTTTTGCTTTTGTTCTAGACATTTGATATGAACTCCCAAAAAAATTCTGTTTGGCTATCACAAGAATGCTGAGTTGTGGGCAAAAGTCGTGCCCCAGGCGGGAGTCGCGGCCCTGGTGGCGTAACGGATAGCGCACTCGCCCGGAAAGCGTGAGGTGCGGGTTCGCCTCCCGCCTGGGGCACGACTTTTGCCCACAACTCAGCATTCTTGTGATAGCCAAACAGAATTTTTTTGGGAG